AGGCTACCCACACCGGCAGCAGCCATGTGGAGACACATGGACCTCTTTTCCCAGGAGAGCTCGTAAGTTTCCCGGCTCCTCCACAATTCCTGCAACAATGGTTTCCTCTTTCAGTCCGTGAAATTTTCAAGTCACCACACAGTCTGGGCAATTTGAAAATTGGCTTGGGTCCATGAGTTCCCTTTACCATCCCAATATCACAATCTATGTTAAAGAAATGGTTTCACTTAGCCCTGACTACTTAAAAAGCAAAACCAAAAAACTGGCAGATTTTGGTTACTCCTCTAGCATTTGGATACTACGCTAGAAGGAACAGTATCATCAAGGGATGATGGAGCAATATGTTTTAGTAGGAAGTGATAAGTTTTTATTTTACTAAACAAGGCCAATAGCCAATAGAATTGGGATCAAGGAGCTCCTCACTTTGAGGGGTTTCCAAAAAACCCTAGTGTTAATTTTACATACATCATTGCAGTTCTAGAACGCAACCTTTCAGATAAGCAGGTATTTTGTTTGAACCCCATAAATGCTTTGGAAGACATCTCTTGTATGGTGCTAAGAACCTGCATTCTGATATCAGACAGCTCTGGGTTTGCCTACTAGCTGCGTGACATCTGGCGAGTCACTCATCGCTAGAACCACAGCTGGTGGTGACAATGGTCAGACTATCTCATATGTACTCATATGTAAACGCATAGGTAGAGTTTTATACTCAGTGCTTTATAGTGTCTTCTATTTATTATCTCATTTAATCCTCATGGAAACCTTGTGAGGGAGGTACTATTGTCATCACTTTAGGAATGAGCAAAAGGAAGAACTTAATTCTTCAAGGACACACACTGAGCATAGGACCTGGGGCAAGAACCTAATGATTCTGTCTCCACGTTCCGAGTTTTAGCCACATTCACCTGCCTCCCTGAGCCTCAGTTTCCTTGTCTGCAAGGTCAGAACAATAGTAAGCCTCGTAGAGTTGGCAGGAGGCCCAGAGATCGTGGAGTGCTTCTGAAGCTGGCGATTCGTTATCGCTGCCAACACTGTTGCTTTTAGCAATGATTGTAATATCAATCAATTTCTAACAGGAAGGAGTCACACATCCATTCTTGTTTGCACACCTATCTCTGCGAACAGAGACAAGCCCTACTCACTTAAGAAAAGCAGGTAGATTTACTACAGTTTCATCAGGGCCAATGAGCAGGGTCACCAATGACTCAGGCACCTGCTTTGTGACCATTTGGATGTCTGCCTAGAGGTATAAACTCTCTAGTAAACATTCTCTTGTTGGTAAGCTCGCTTTCTCCTTCATGAATCTGGGCCCAAAATCCACTGTGTCTTTAGCTTCTTCCCACAAAGAGATTTTCCTGCTGGCAGCTCTAGCTGCCATTGTGGGATTTTGCCCAGGAAATTTTGTGAAGTTATCTGACCCTATAGAATTATATAAATTTTTAAAGACTGTCGGGGTGCCTGGGTGGCTCAGTCGTTAATCTCTGCCTTCAGCTCAGGTCATGATCCCAGGGTCCTGGGAGCAAGCCCTGCATCAGGCTCCCTGCTTGGCAGGAAGACTGCTTCTCCCTCTCCCGCTCCCCCTGCTTGTGTTCCCTCTCTCGCTGTGTCTCTCTCTGTCAAATAAATAAATAAATAAAGACTGTTGCAAAATCAGGAATCTCAATGCAAGGCAGCCACATCCAAAGCAGCAGTCTGATTCAACAATCCCCACTTCAATGGCAGCCCTTTTGTAAACAGGAACGGCTACCAGAGACCAGCATTAAAAGCATCAGTCACTACTTAATTGTGTCCTTAAAGGCTGGGACATGTAAACATTAAAGATATACATTTTTTGCTATGGAGATACTTTGAGGCCAGACCTACAGAATGCGACAGCTGCCATCCAAAGCCTCCCTGCACCAAGAGATGCTTGTCTGGAAAATCCAGTTCTGGCCAGACAGCTTCCAGTCCTCAGAGGACCCTGCTGGTTGTCACCCAGAGGTTCTCTCATCCCACAGCACATAGACAAGCAGGGGATGCAGGATCCATATCTGGAGTTCCTTCTGCTCCCTGCCCTACAGCCATGATGGCTCAAAACCATAGGTCATATGAATAGTACTTGGCTAGTCTGTCACATGATTGTTTAAATGCCTACCAGGCTAAAATTTCCATTTCTAAAGCAATGTTTCCCAACATGTGGATCCAGATCAGAATTCTCTGGGGTGCTTGTTAGAAATGCAGATTCCTGTGCATGTCTTATCTATTTTACTGTGTGATTATTTGTTTCTCTTGTTAGCATGGAAGTCCTGAGGACTATAAACTGGTCTGTTTCCCCCGGTACCCTAGTACCCCCAACAGTGTGTGACACCTCGATAGTAAGCATTCAATACATATTTGTGGAAGGAATTAATTCCTGGGCCCTATAATCGACCTCCTGAATCAAAATCCCTAAGAGTGGGGCCAAGGAATCTGCATTTTAAAGGCACACACAAGTGATTTTTTTTATGCACACTAAATTTTAAGAACCATTGTTCTAAAGTAATTCAGCGAATTCTAAGATAAACAGAAAGATGAAAAGTTTTGTCTCCAGAGGCCCCCATACTATATCATCTGTGAGTTAAACTTCTCTGTTCTGCTCACATACCTCCTGATCGGCCACCTTCAGGTTCTGGGTCCCTAAGTGGATAAAACAGGTATCTTAGGCAGAGGGCCTAAGAAAGGCTGGAACACGCCCCGTCAAGAGCCACAACCATCACTTTCTGCCTGAACTTGATTATTTGATGAGCCCGCCCCAAAACTCCGATCGAGAAATGCAACACACTGTTCATTACTGCTTTCCCGGCATGCTTGAATGACACCTCTGATCCAGGAAAGTCAGATATTATCTGCAAGGATTTATCTTATTGTAAAAGACTCCAGTCTTCCTAAATAGGTTTCCTATCTGTTTGGCCCTTCAAGGAAGCTTAGTGTTTTATTTCTAGTTACAATCAACCTTTTACCAACATTTGATCTTGGGCAGTCACTTCACTTCTCTTGGCCTGCTTCCTCACTTGAAAAATGAGACAATTAGACTAGAAACAGGTCTTCAGCCCCTTCCAATAATAATGTACCCTAATCTGTGACTTCTTGGTGACAACTTACTGCCTCATGCTTAACATCCAGGTGTGATTAGATGAGTGAATCACAGCTGTCAAACTTGTCCAACCAAAACTCTTCAAAGGAGAGTCTTTTACTCTCCTTTAATATGTGGAAGACTAGGGAGGATTTGGGATTTGCAAACTGTTTCTGAAAATTCTTTCTCAGTTTCCGTGTTTACCTAGAAAAATACAATGGCAACTTTAATGTGCTGAAAACCTTATGTAAAAGACAACTATGATACCCAAATTTCTTCTGAATCTGCACATTTTGTTTCTATCAGCGCTGAAGCAAGGTGTTTGAGCATAGCCTGATCTAGAGAGATGGAAAATCACTGCTTCGTGGGATGCCCCCCCCCCCCCCCCGCCAAGCTGTGAAGTGTAGGGAGAGATGTAGGGAGTGAGCTCCTTGTCCCCGCCCCACCCCCTGCTTTCCGTTCCCTCTGTCCCTCCTTCAGAAGCCCCATCGCACCGAAGTTCCCCAGAGGCGGGGGCTCTGACCCGGAATCGTACCCTCAGCCCCAAATGTACATTCACTGTCCTTTGTTCCAACCCAGCCTGACTAATCACTGATAACTTGTGCATGATGGTTGCCAGATAATTGCATTTTAACTGCCTTCCTTTGGAAAACAGCTTCACATAAATTAGTGGTTCTTAAGGCTTCTGTAAAGCTTAGAAGATGTAACGAAGTGCCTAAAGTCACAGGGACAGACAGGAATGGATTATTGACCTAGTGACAAATACCAACCCCCCTCACTCACTGCTCCCTAAATGCCAATAGGGTTTCTCAGCCATTTATTGTGACAACCTCCTGCCCATAATTTATTTTTCCAAATTGCCTTTTAAAAACCTAGATCGATGACCCCGATGTGAAAAGTGAAGCCAGTTTAGCAACCTCAAGAGAGCTATTTTGGTTTAAAGAATTTTTTACTACTTCCGGCACCATGCAACTACTCTGTCCTTTCCCTGTTTTTTCCCCAAAAGTCGGGAGATGGATGTCATAATACATAACAATCTCAACAATACAAGTTAACATTTAAGAATGCTTCCCACATGCCGTGCACTTTTTAAATAGTTTTGCATTTATTATCTCATTTAAACCTCATAACTCCATAAGTAATATTACTCTCACTCTGTTCCAGGGACAGTAATGAGAGGCACAGAGAAATCAAGTCACTTGACTAAGATCACACATCTAGCTACATCTAGCTTCTTGTCTAAATCAACTCCTTTGATTATTATAATAATGTGGTTTTGCAATTAGCAAAGCACTATCTGTGTTTTTATTTTAGGAAAGAAACATTTCAGGAAGGATAGAAAGGATGTTTCTTTTTCCAAAGTCCATGTATCTAAATGTTTGAAATTTGAGCCCATGTTTTCCCTGCCGCCTTTATGCTTTTAGCACTTAGCATGTAATTAAGTATTTCTTTTATTTAATATTTTTCATTCAGTTGTTTCAGAATGGATTCCTCTTTTTGGCATGTCATCTATATGTGAAATTGCAGCTCCCTTCATTCGAAGACTGGGAACACGAATCTCTTTTCTGCACTCTCTTTTCATTGCCACGTGGCTCGCACCAAAGCAGGCTTGTTTTAATCGAGTTAAGAGGATGACCCAAAAAGTGGATTCTGTGCAGCATGGAGTGACGTGTGGCTGTTCTAACAGCACAGTGTGCTCAGGAGTCTCCTCAATGTGTCGGAAATTATATCCTGCATCCTTCAGGGAGGAACTGCATTTCTTCCTGGAAACAGCCATCAAGTTGTTTTAACTGATCGTGATTATCCACTGCTTAGGGTCGAACTTTTACCCTGATGTGGCTGCTTGTAAAGACAACAGAGTAAACTATTTGAAGCAAACCTATAATGTATGTATTTTTCCTTTCAGGGGGAAAATGATCCCATCTGATCTTGAAAGAAGGATCCTTGAAGCCAAACAAAAAGTAAGTTTTTGTAGGGAGGTTTATTCAACCCATAACAAGCGAAGGGTACATATTTCTGTTTCCATCCAGTGGAGAACACAGTTTGGTTTTGGTTTTTTTGTTTGTTTGGGGGGGATATGTTGGGGGGCAGAGGGAAAGGGAGAGAGAGAATCCCAAGCAAGCTTACGCCCAGGGCAAAGCCTGACACAGGGCTCGATCTCACAACCCTGAGATCATGATCTGAACCGAAATCAAGTCAGACACTTAGCCACCCAGGTGCCACCACCTTGGTTTTGTTTTGAAAAGAAGACCCAGTTCTCAACCTCCCAGCTTTACTGGGAATATGGGATTTTTGCATCCAGTCATTATTCATTTCTCTGAGTTGTAGCCTCTGCTTTGGAAAGATCTAAATTGCTGTTTAAATAATATACCCTGTGATAATATACACGGTGATGCTGGAGAAATTTCTAAAGCATTTGTCTTACTATGTGCTGAGAGTTGGCGTTAAACAGACATACATTTGAAAGATCATCTTCACAAGTGGAAAATATCACAATACCAATGCAGCATGAGTTACTGTGGTGTGGTTACTTGAAAGGGGCTAATTTTTCCCGCCTAGGAATATGGTTATGATTGGCTCTCCAAGCATCTCCTTCTTCGGCTGGAGACCAGCAAAAGATTCCCACAAAGCTCTAGAAGGTCATTTCTAACCAGAGAGCTGGTTTGTAGAACTCCCGTAGTGTAACTTTTAGTGGATAGGACCCACGGTTTCTAGTTCAACGAGAGGAACAGGTGCGTTTTATTATTATCAATTTAGGAATACATTATTTCTTTAAATCTGCCTTTTATATTTTTCTGCAAAGTGGGAGCAGGAGGTTCCCCTTGTTCCTGTTCTCGAACTACTTCTAGTAGTGTAAACCACAAGATTAAACCTTTGCTGCCACCTAAAGACTGACTCTGACATCCCGTCACATCATGGCTCTGCTCATTCCGTTCGAGGCATTCTTCTTTTTCTACCTTCTAGCAATTTTCATTTAGCCAGGGCCAGACAGACTGAGGACTACTTAGACAGATAACGGTCATGGCTTATTGTCTAATCCCACATGAACCCTTCCCTCTAAGACACCAAATAAATGATCTCAGGATTTTCTAAATAGGAATAAAGGGTTGTATTTCCTTCTTTGTTCTTTGGCCTGCTCAATTCAGGGGACTGTTATATAAAAGGAAGACTAGAAAGTGAACAAAGGGGGGTAGACTATCTACCTGGAATATATAAATGGCTTGGGGGCACCATAAAACTTCCCCACTTCTGGGTGCAGTGTGGCCTCTCCTGAGAACCAGAGTGCCTGTTCTCCTAAGGCAAATGGCAGGTCCAACAGAATGGCCTGGAGGAACTCAGATCCTGGAGAGTGAATGTCCTCCCAGGCTCCAAGGGGTCGACACTCCCTTTGATGGTTCCAAAACTGGAGAAGTGTATGACAGAGGGAGGATATCCACTGTTTTTATCAGCTTTAAAAAAAAAAAAAAATCCGTGACGCCCTGTTTGATGTTATTTGGGGCTTTCTTGTTTGTGTAGGGATTTGTTCCTTTCCTTGTGAGCGCCACAGCTGGGACCACCGTGTATGGAGCATTTGACCCCCTCTTGGCAGTTGCTGACATTTGCAAAAAGTACAAGATCTGGATGCATGTGGATGTGAGTATCCCATAGGGATGGCCACTAAAATACCCTTGCACATTTATTCATTTGGGGCTCATGGAATGAAATGTTCTCTCTCTCTCTCTCTCTCTCTTTTTTTCCTTTGGGAGCCTATTTTCAGAATGGGGAGATTTAAGCTTTTGAAGAGTCCAGAGACAAAGTAGCCCACAACTCACCCAGTACCCAACATTGACTGGAGGAAGTCAGAAGCTGACCTGCCTTAATGTCCCCAACATGATAATATTCTTATTTCTATGACCAGTACCCAAGCTGAGCACTTAGCTCTTGATTCATCAGGAGTGTAGCCTACACACATCCATACACAGCCACACATGTGCACGTTGTACTTCCCTAGGAGAATGATCAAAAATGCAAAAAAGAGTTACATTTACATAGGAAACCCAGAGGATAAAAAAACAAACAAACAAACAAACCTCAAACTCAAGTCAGGTATTTGTATATTTGGAGAGGAAAGCAGACTTGGCAGCTTGCTAGGAAGTATGGGCCACCAAATTTCCCCAATTTCTTAGCTGGGCCAGCTAAGAAGATAAATTATATTTGAAATGTTTTTGACTCCAGACCTAGTCACACTCAAATGAAGATGTGCCCACCAAAACATTTTCAAATGAAAAAAAAAAAAAAAGTCAAGATTTAGAAGGACAAAGTGAAGAAATTTAAGCATAGGCCAGTATTACTCAAAGTGTGGTTCAAAGATCAGCTGTTATCTGCAAACTGTTCGTTACTAATCCACTATTACTAAGGCTGAACCAGGTAGATGTCCATGATCCCAGTGTTACCCTGCATAGTGGTGGTTACCAGTCGTCTTTTCCTTCTCTGATTCACAGTGTGAATTAGGCTAGCAGAGACCCCATCGGTTTTACAAATGAAGACACTAAGTTGAACAATTCAAGTACCGTCATGACCTGGGTCTCAGAACTGGAGAGCCTATTAAAGCTTGCTAGCTGAAACCAGAAGAGGATTATCCTGACAACTTTAAAAATAACAGTGTCTTTGCGTCCTGAGCCAGCAGGAGCTGTGGTCTCTCCTCTAGGATTTCTACTTAAAGCAGAGCGGGGAGATCTTTTAACCAACTGTATTTGCTTTCTTTGAAACCTACCAAGTGTATCACTTATTATCTTAAATGCTTATACTCTTTATAATTAAATTAGAGAAAATCTTAAATTATTACATATTTGGAAAATCAGATCATTTTTCAAAGTGTAAAAGAACTGAAATTATAACAGACTAAAAAAAAAAAAGGCAATTATACCCTAACACGTGTTTTTTTTTTCTTTTAAAATTATCCTAGGATTATTTTTACCCACAAAGAATACCAACATTTTCCAATGAATCTCCATCTTGACATCTTCTTTTTAAAGGAGATCACTGCATCACTACACTAATTCAAATCTTCAAACTTGAGTACAAGTTTTTAAGGGGCATGTTCTAGTCACTCAACAAATTGGCACAAATTCTTCCTGCTTGTTTTCCTCTTTCTTTCTTTCTTTCTTTCCTTTTTTTCTTGACAGAGAAATTATCTTATCCTCAAATACATATTAGTGAAATAGGATTATGAAGCTGCTTCTTCCTTCTGGAATCATCCAGACTTGCCAAAGGAGTTTTCCTTACAATTCAGAAGCTGCTTAATGAGTCCCCTAGCCATTCCTCTGTACTTTCAACAGGGCAGACAACAGGGTTTCTTGTTCTGAGATCACGAGCTTTACTAGGACTATGAGTGGTGGTGATGCGTGGGGGAAAGGACCTTTCCTTTGTGCAGACACAAGAAATGTGCCCCCAGTTTGGCTCCTTACACTTGTCTAAATGTGGGATGGAACCTGAAACCTTATAATAGTTTCCAATTTAAACTTTGAAAGTCTAGTGCCAGAAGGTGACCAGCCCCCTGTTGCCTGAGCCTGAGGAGATGACTTTCACCCCATGAGAGTCTCACTATTCTGGAAGACACCAAACTTGAGAACTCTAGGCAATGAAAGACCTGTTACCATGTTCCTTATATGATCTTCCTTTTGCAGGCAGCTTGGGGTGGGGGATTACTGATGTCCCGGAAGCACAAATGGAAACTGAGCGGCGTGGAGAGGTACACCCACTTTTCTTGCTAACAATGTAAAGTGTGAAAGCTAAATGTGAAAAGCAAGTTACATACAATTTCCAAGCACTCTTGGGACACAGGTGAACCCATTCTCTACAGTGTTTGTGTGCCTTGACCTGTGTGGTCATAGACCCATGAACATTACGTGTAAATAACAAAAAGACATCAAATCCTCTATCCAGTAGCCCAGGCAGAATGTTTCTCAAATAAATAGAGATTCCTAACTGGAGTCCGCGGTTGACCAGAGGGCTCAGCAATGACCTTCCTACAATCTCTGAACCAACTACCCAAATTATTTAAAACCTGTTGGCAGGTCATAATTTTCTAGGGAGAAGATCTGTAGCTTTCATATTCCTCAAAAGGGTAATATCCACTGCTGTAAGCAAACCAACAAATAACTTTGCACCTTGTAATTTATCAGTGTTGAAAGCATGGGTTTGAGGTTTACTACGGCCAGCTGAAAGCAAGACATACTTGTGAGAACCTCATCTCATGGTTTCATTCCTACGATAATTTTCTTTTTTTTACATAGCTCTGATGGATGCAACAAAGCACTTTTTTTTCAGAGACTAAGCAGTAGATGGTTGAGAAAAGCCTCCAAACCCAAAGGAGGTGATATTTGATTAGCATAAAACATATTCAGGTCTGAAGAGAAAAGGAAAAAAATTATACAATGCAAAATCAGCCTCAGGCTTTGCTGACCGTGCACAGAGGAAGCTCAGCGTCCCCGTTCTCCCATTACACCACGGCAGGTCAACAGCAGAGGTGAGCTCTGCTACGCCAGGCAATTAACTCAGAAAGCCTGAGTTGGTCCGAGGCTGCCAAGGGCCCACCATGCCCTGCCCAGTAGCCAGATGCTGCCCAGGAAGAGTTTCCCACTGGCTTTGCCTCCAGATATCTTGGCACAGTTTCTGCTCCAGAATGAGGAGTGAGGCCGATGGAGCGTGGGAGCATCTGTCGGCATTGGCCATGGGGCCAGGCCAGGAAGGATGCCCCCAGCGTGCTCCGTGATGCCCAGGCCTGCTCACGTGCAGAGAACCCGAGGGGGCAGGGGTCACCGAGGCAGAGTCAGGGGCACATTGCCTCACTTGTGGAACCCTCGAGAGACCTACTGAGGCCCAAGTCAGCAGGGTAGCCGTCTGTGAGTCTGCCGGCTGGGGTCAGTGGCTGGCGGGTAGCGCTGCCTGGGCTCTGATGGCGGGTTCCCACTTAGCTCCAGTCCTCTGGGGCTTCTCCCATGCCCAATTCCTTTTTGCCATGAAGATCTCTGTGGAACCAGACGCTTAAGGAGAAGGCAATGCACTACACAGGGAGAGATGATGGGGAACAAAAAAAAAAAAGAACAGCTTGGAAGATGCCTGCTCAGATGATCAGAACAAGAACGAATTCTCGTGCTTTCAAGAGAGAGGTGGTCTGTACACAGTACCTTCTCTTTAGTTTCTTTCTGACTGGCACAAAATGTAAGCGTCTATTATTGTACTTTTAATGCCACCTGGGACTCAGAGTGCCAAAAGCCAGGGGGCGTCCTCCACCAGTGATGACTTAAAAGCTCACTAAATTACCTATCCTGAGCCTTGGAAAAATAAACACCCACACACTTTTGTACTAAAGACTGTTATTTCAGAGCAAAGCTTAGAACATTCACTGTGGACCATAGTCTCCTCCAATTGCTGCAGTTCTGAAACCGTATTGTAACTAAATCTACAAAGTGGAAGAGCCAAAGATGAAGTCCCCAAAAAAGAGGGGCTGCTACCTCTGTACCCGAGAGTATCCGTCTTGCTGACTTATTAGCAAAAGGCACATCGTCTTTGGTGAATACGCTTGTAGAACCAGTGGAAACGCCTGGGCATAATAGGCATGGGCATAAGTTTAGGGACAAAAATTTGCCCCATTTGGGGGCACACATTTTTCCAAGGATTCACTCTAAAGGGGAGGAAAGCCATGGTCAATTCTTGTCCCCAGATCGAGAGGTTCCCCCGTGGTCACAGGGTCCCCAGAGTGCCCTCTTCATAACAAAATGGCACAAGTCACCAGAGCCTACCTGGCACTCCCTTTGAGTACCTACCAAATTCTCAAAAAGCAGCGTTCTTCTTGCTAACGCTGTCAAATTTTCTAGAGACAGCATAGCTGAGAGGGTGTGCCCAGAGCCCTAACGCTCCCAAGTACGCTTCTGTGCACTGTAGACTGTCTCCTTTAATCCCTCCCCACAGCAGGCTGCTGCTTGCCTGTAATCTCCCTTTGTGGTCGCCCCCTCTCAAGGCTTTTGGGCCCGGCTGAAGGTCCTGGCCCGGCTTCTGCCATGTTACCAATCACTGCCCTCACTCCTGCCCCGAGAGCCGGCGGTTTAGAAATTCAGTTCAGTAGTGACTGAACCTCTGCCATATGCAAGGTGCAGCACCAGGCCCAGCGAGGGCACAAAGACGAATATGGTGTGAAGCCTATTTTCAAAGGGCTTAGAATCTGGTAGGGAAGAGTGGCAGTCAATGATGGGTTAAACTTCAAGGCAGAGGAAGTAAAGGCTCAAGAGACAGACAAGAGAGATGACTGGCAAGCGCAGAGAAAGGGATGATTCCTGCTAAACGGGGTTATTCCGGGAAGTCTTGGCGCGGGGGTGGGCATTGGGGCTGCGTCAGGCGGAAGTGGAAGATGGACATTCAAGGTGAAGAGCAAGGGCATGGAGGTCTGAAAGGGTCCTTGGAGGAAGTCCAGATAAGTTTGGATGGAGACTGAGAGGGACTCACGGCAGTGAGTAGGAAGCTCGTGGAGTGTCCACAAGTCCTGCCCAGGGAGTCTCAGTGGAGGGCCTGCCCACAGGACCAAGTCAGGATCAACATAAATCCCTGAGCTGAGAATCCCTGCTCTAGGAGCCATTATTTTGCATGGAGAGCATGATATTTCTCAGATTAGAACGGGGGGGAGTGAAAGCCCCTGCCGTAGCAGCCATGGGGGGGGCAAGGGGGCAGTGAGGAGACGAGTCATATGATCTCACCTGCCCTTTGGAGAGACAGCTCTGGATTTGGGAGGAGATGGAGGCCAGGGACCCAGTAGAAGCCACTGAGCTCTCGAGAATGTCCAGGTGAGGGGTAGCGGCGGTGGCAGAAGCTAAGGGTGCAAACCCGGGCGGTAGCGGCTGGGAGGGAAATAAGTGGATGAACCCAGCCATGTGGCTTCCCTGCAACAGGACGAACCATCACAGAGACCTGCTTGTCTACAGGACCGCGTGTAATTTAAAGAACCAGTGCTTCTGTTGACTTCCCTTGCTTCTGAAACACTTTGTGTGTGTATAGATAGATAGATAGATAGATAGATAGATAGATAGATAGATAGATAGATAGATAGATGATAGATAAGTTGCGCTCTAATTATACAATGAAGACCATTGTATATTACAGAATGCTTAAACACTCTTCGTATATAATACTTTCTTTTGCCTTATTTTCCAATACTTTAAGAAATTCCACACTTTCTGCCTTGACAGACTTTACAGTCTTATATAATATGTTAAAAAGTACAGGGGACATTTTTTTGTAGATATCTTTGACCAAGCTAGCATTAGCTTGTTGTACTCTAGGAAGCATCTTCCTCAAAAGTTACAAGCACCAAGTACTACAGAATAAAGCGCTTTATACAAAGTTAAAAAAAAAAAAAAAACACTGGAGCTGCAAGGGGTGATATGGGGAGAGCAGAAAGAAGAAAATGCTACTAACACCTGAGGTCTGAGAGCTAGATGTGTAGGGGGGCAGTGTGAGGCACCGAGGCACAGAACACACGTGAAAGAACGGATCTGGAAGGATGAGGAGGGGCAAGTTAATGAGCTCGTGTGGGGTCTGCTGAGTTTGAGGTACAAATGAGGGCACAAGGACATGTCTTAAAACAGCCCTCAGGGAGTCAGTTTTCTCTGACTTACAATATATCACAGAAGCCTCATGACTGAACCTCACAGCAAAACATTTTGAATTGAACCTGAGGCTGTTTTTCATAAATTGCCAACATTTCTCAAACAAACTAAGAGCATGTTATTGAATCACTCTGTGCAGCTTTTTGCCCTGTTTATGAGGCAGCCCCTCTGCGAGAGAGGCAGGACAGGGAACTCAGTGACGGGTAGCTGTGGGCCTCAACAGCATCTACTCTAAAAAGACAAGTTGGCCACAGCATTGAAACAAACACCTCCAGGCAGAGAAATGAAGAACAGTTATTCTCTCCTCCATCAGGTGTCATTACCGACAAAGCTGACTTTCATCAGGATTAGGCATGGAGCTGTAGAATATTCTAGAAGCAGTGTATATGTGCTCAAAGTCACACACAGTGTGTAAATGATAGAATTGAAATCAATAGTAGGAACCAAACTTGTTTAATGCTTACTGTGTATCGGAAGATGAGCTGGCCTATCTACTGATTCAGATGAGATCCCCAGGCCAGAAAACCTTCTCTGGCTGGCCAGCTGATGCCCACCACTCATCAGATAGAAGAATGGGATGTTTCCCAGCTTCTCATTTCTTCCCAAGGTTCTTGGGCTTGGGAAGCAACTCGAGTGCTGGGAGCAGGTGAGCCCAAGTCTGTTGTTCAGCCAGAGGAGGGCCAGCGATCCGCAGGACTCTGGAGCCAGCTGCCATGGGTAGCTCTACTTTCCCTCCTCCTGTGAGTCTGTTTATACCAAGGTCACATTCATGATTCTCATCCTCAAGGATCCCTTAGGCTCTCAGAAGACATGCACAGGGGCTCACCTTGCCTGATAAACCCGTGAAGTGAGCGATGGGAACTCACTCATGGAGGGGACACTTGCTTTCCCTGGGAGCCAAAGGAGGAGCCGGTTGGAGCAGTTCAGCAGGAGTGAGGGAGAGAAGTTGAATGAAGGTGAAAGAATTCTGCAGAGAAAATAACACCTGATCTGGGACTTAAAGAACAAGTAAGATTTAGCCAAGTGGAGCAAAGAGAGATGACATTCCAGGAAGAAGAAATAGCATTAAGAGACCCAGGAATATGGGAATAGAATTTTCTGAGAATAAAAAATAATCTGGTGTGATGAAAATGGTGTCATGAAAAATGAAAATGGGTATGGGATAGAGCAAGGACACAAGACTGAATACATGGCCTGCGCTCACCCTTGATGGCATTATTATTATAAGAATCTGACCCAGAACTATGGTTTAGACTTTTCAAATAGCATAAATCCCTGACAATCTCTATTACTGATGGGAGAGCATTGTATTTCTCAAGTGTGTTGGGACAAAATAGATTGAAAACTGCTATAGGAACCATAGCATATCCCACCTGTGGTCTAGAAGGACATGTCTGGGTCAGAGAAGAGATGAAAATGGGATGAGCTAGAAGCTATTATGAAAGGACAGATATGAAGAATGTAATAATCAATGGAAGAGGAAGAAGGAGAGATGGTTGAGAAGAACAAAGTTAAGCAGTGAAATAAGCCATCGCTTTACACCCCAGGCCACTATGGGGGTGCCTCCAGGAACAACAGAGGCACGTGAAGACAGCCCCTTCACCTGCTTGGTGCGCTCCTGCTTGGCCGCCATGGGCAGGACACTGGAGTGGATGATCCCAGTCCCTCAAAGGGACTCTCAGATCACATGGAGGCTGGCTGAATTCCTCCATGGAAGCTAGCAGGGAGCTGCATGAAGATGCCCACCCTCACCTACTCTCTCTGTAGACAAAGAAAAGGTTGTAGGTTTAAGAGTCCACGTTTTATGTTGTAAACTTAGCATCATCCAGGAGTCTGAGAAACAGTGGTAAGAACCTCAAAGCTCTGTTGTCCTGGCACAAGACCTTGTAGCCTGAGCCTGTCATAGGTGCCACCCTCTTAACTCCATTTCTTTCCCTTAGGGCCAACTCTGTGACATGGAACCCACACAAGATGATGGGTGTCCCTTTGCAGTGCTCTGCTCTACTGGTTAGAGAAGAGGTACGTCTTTCCTGATTCGCGGCCCAGTCCATCAGCAGAGTTTGGTAGAGTAAATGTGTGTAGTGACGGAATCAGAATGAAGGATGATTCACAGGCTAGAACAGTGAGTCATATCCAAAAAGAAGAAATCGTTCATGAGGATAATTATGAAGTCCTGCTCTTATTTCCATGTAGAGGATGGTTCTATTTTGAGTTGACAAGACAGGCATGTTTCTTACATGGCTAAATTGTAGTGTGTGTTTGTGCGTGTGTGTGTGTGTGTGTGTGTGTGAGTATGTGTGTGTGTCTGGCTTACTTTATTTAGCATAATGTTGGCAAGGTTCATTTATGTCATAGCATGTACCAAAATTTCATTCCTTTTGTGGCTGAACAATATTCCGTTGTGTGAATATACCACAGTTTGTTTATCCATTCATCCTTCAGTGGACATTTGGGTTAATTCTGCTTTTTGGCCGTTATGAATAGAGCTGCTCTGAGCATTTGTGTACGATTATTTGTTTGACTATCTGTTGTCAAATGAGGGACCTGTTTCCAATGGAGGAATAGAGCTGCTGAATCATATGGTAATTCTATATTTACCTTCTGGATTAACTGCCAAAGTGGCTGAAACATTTTACTTTCCCACCAGCGTGCATGAGAGTTCCAATTTACTCTACATCCTTGCCAACATTTCTAAGAAAACACAGCTAAATTTAGCTCTTAAATTTAGGTCTTTGAACCATTTTGAGTTAATGTTTGTGTATGGTGTGAGGTATGAGTTTGCATGCGATATCCAGTTCCCCCACTACCATTTATTGAAGAGACTACTCTTTCTCCATCGAACGGTCTTGGGACCCTTGTTGAAAATCAGTTAGCCATAGATACATGGATTTAGCTAAATTGTACTTCTAAAAAAGGCATAGAACATTAGGTTGTACTCAGCAGGGCCCACAATGAGTCAAGAGGAACTTAGCATTCATAAAATACTAATGAGTTAAAAAAAAAGTGGAGTTTCAGAATGAGAAAGGTTGTCGTGTCCTACCGTCCTCCATGCCTGGAATGGGTGCTTAGGTCAATGCCAAATTGCATATGGGACCCCATCAAGCTAGGGTTCAAACAGTGGGGAACAACTGGTGAATATGTGAGAGGGATGGTTGAAATAAGTAAGGATGTTTAATTTAAAAAGAAAAAGAAACTTAAAGGGCTGGAGGATGGCAGCCTTCACAGTTTAAGTGACTCTCAAGTGGAAGAGATTCATTTTTTCCTTGCAGCTTCGGGGAACTGGCTCAGTCGCACTGGGTTTGAATCAGAATATGCTATGATTTTAGGTCTGACTTCCGGTCAATGAAAGGAAAGCTTTTCTAAAAATTAAGCTCATCCCGAGGTAATGAATCTGGGTAATGGAATAAATTCACTGCCAGGGGAAGTGACTGGAGATTGGACAGCCACTTATTAGTAAGAAGATAGAAAAGATTCCTTCATTGAGAAAGGAGTAAAATAAATGCTCTAGGATCCCTTCCAAATCCAAGAGTTTATGATACTCTGACAGCATGTCCCTTATTGAGATAAAAGGAATAATGCCATTGTATAGGACTGTATTAAATATTCTGTGATAAGAGAGTTCCGGGTTTAAAAAAATCCTGGGGTATTTTAGACTGAAGAGTTAGAAGGAAGTTTCGTTACTTCAGGGCATATCAGAGCCTTTAATATGCTGATATATATTGCAACTACCTTTGAAGAAGGGATTTATGATGTAGAGTTTCCTAAATTTATCTGCCCCTGGGAATTTCTTTTACAGCAACTATTTGAGAGCACAGCAATTATTAGTGTACTTAAATTAGTTGGCCACATAACGGTCTATAACTTTTTAATGGCTTGGAATCAGAGTATTATCTCATCAAGGCCCTTTATGTGAAAAACATGACTTTTATTTATCCTTTTGTGCAGTGAGACGGATGCCGGCCAGCCTTTGGGGGGTCCTGTGTTTTGAGTTGCTTTTCCTATCCCAGGCCCGCTTTATCCACCATTCCAGACTCTGGGGTGATCTCCCTACGACTGGTGGCACATTTTTGTGAGCGAGCTTGCATGGCAAGCTTCTGTGACCATGAAACAAAATTGAAGCACCTGTTGCAATTTTCAATCTTATTGGTCTTTGAGTGAATTTTCTTTTTCAAATCCAAAGTCATTCTACTGCTCTATTACAGTTATTTAATTTCCCTGAATCTCGGTGAGTTCAACTGCAAATGAAGCCCAAACTATAGGGTCGAGCCCAGCTTCATTGCCAACCATATGGTCTTTTAGGACCCAGTTAAATTTTAGTTGCATTACAGTTTGCTTTCATTTGATACATTTTTTAAAAAGAATTCTCACTTCTAACTTCCACTTGGTGATCACATTTTAGTCTTCTCTTCTCTTGTCCTGCGTCACAAGGGAAAAAAAAACAACAAATGTCAAAGCTTCTGTAAAATCACAATAATACTGTAGATAATGAAAGAGTCAAAGGCTTCCTGTGGTTCGTGACAAATTGAAACGTGGTGGGGTTTCTCGTGAGGAGACTGACAATGCTGTTTTAGTCAGAGAGCATGATTCATTCACTGTTCTTTGGAATCATTCAGTCACTTTGCCACCCATTTTCCATACCAAGCTCCTGGTGATGGGGCAAATTGATGATCATTGGCAATGAAACGTCCCACTCAAACCACCACAAGCAACTGAGTATAAAAATGCAGTACTAACCACTCTTGAAAGGGGAACATGGCATTTGAAAGATTGGTTATTTAAGACCTCTCAAAATAACAATGTCTACTGTTTTAGATTTCAGCATATAAAAATAACAATACACTATCTTAAAAGCTATGACCTCCAAAGAGGACTCAAACCCTAACAGCCAAATGATAAAGTACTTGAACTAAGTATGAATGAAACACTAGAATAATCTATTAGTATTTTACAGAACCAAAGAGTTTCTAAAGTATTTTAATTACAACAAAATCAAAACAGCAGGATGTTCCCTCAAAGAACAAACATTATATTCTGATTCTGATTGTTTCTAAAGAAACGCGTTCTCTTAAAAGGAAGAGTTAAAGCATATGTGCCCCTGTTGTTAACCTGTAGTTAGTTACATTTGATCCTGAGCCATTTAATCCCACGAAACTGACCTATCCCCACAGCGCATACTGTCCAGATATTGGTCCCATTTTATTTTATTTTTCACTTTTTTAGAGAGAGGGAGAGAGCGCGCACACATACGTACGAGCGCGCAAACAGTGGTGGGCAGGGGCAGACGGAGAGAATCTTAAGCAGGCTCCATGCGGAGCCCGACGCAGGGCTCGGTCTCACGACCTGAGCTGAAATCAAGAGGCAGACACTTAAGCAGCTGAGCCACCCAGGGGCCCCTTGGCCCCATCTTAAACATTTGATTCTTCCTGCTTTCTTTCTCTAGGAAATTTGGTGTCCCTTTAAAATTTTGTTTCTCTGAATAATTTTCACCGCAATGTAAATCTAACAGAGTACTTGATCAAGTCAGTAGAGTTTCCTAAGTTTTCTCTTCTCTTCTAGGGATTGATGCAGAGTTGCAACCAGATGCATGCCTCCTACCTCTTCCAGCAAGATAAACACTACGACCTGTCCTACGACACTGGGGACAAGGCCTTACAGTGCGGACGCCACGTTGATGTTTTCAAATTATGGCTAATGTGGAGGGCAAAGGTGAGCACATGTAGATAGGCCGAGTGTCAACTAAAGACAGAAACTATATCTGGTGACCCTTATTATGAGTTTAAAAATGGATCTCCAAATCGAAAATTACCCAGGATTAAGTCTCTTTAATCCCGTGTCTAGATATCTGCCTTCTGCATGGGCAAGGACAGGAGCCAAATTGCTTCTAATGCTCACTCATCTAGAAAACAAACCCAGATTGCTTTCTGCGGCAGAACATCTGGATTCTTAAGAGGCGTTTTGTTGTTGTTGTTGTTGTTGTTGTCTCTCAACTCTTGGTTTTTACCCAGTGATTGATCCCTTGGGGAGGTTGAAGCCCTCCTTTTGTTTGGAGGACAAAACCCACCAGGATAGCTTCCTTTTGACATTTCAAGGGTTATCCTCTAGTTATAAAGCTTTAAAAAAAAAAAACCTGGAACTACCCAGTGACTTCATTTTGTAAGCTTTCTCTGTTTACCCCAGAATTTAACTACTCTTGATCACTCCACTCAGACACAGAAACTCTGTAATGGTGCACAGTTTGGGCTTGACTCATTGCCGCCTTCAAGGAGGATACCTGTGTGCTGAAATGTAAGCAGGCTGGAAAGGTCAAAGATTTTCTTTCTCATTTGGATGAGATTCCTAATTTCAATGTTACAAATCAATGACTTCCCACCTGGTTTCATTTACCTCCCACAGGAGGCAATGGCCAGAGCCAGCTGGACGTGCCAGAGACACCCAACTGCTAAAAAACCCAACCACTCAAAGAGTCCACAAGGGAAACTTGACGAAGGAAACAAGAAAGGGCGAGGTTAGAGGGAGGCTGGCACGCCCCAAGGTCCTCCATGTTTGAGGGAGGGGCTGGATTGGGCGGGGTGCTTTCCCGGTAGCCCACACAAACAGGGGGCCCTCCCATCCCAGGAGACGCACAGATAACTTGGTCAGCACGCGTGCAACCTGCCAGGGTGAGATCACAGATTGTGTCTGTGTAAGGAACCATGTCTACAGCAGAGAGTTCCCTCTGCCGTGGTTTTGGTTTTTTTCTTTTTTAATTTAATTTTATTTTATTTTATTTTATTATGTTAGTCACCATACAGTACATCATTAGGGTTTTTTTTTTTTTAGCATTTTTTAAAAGATTTTATTTATTCATTTGAGACACAGAGATACAGAGAGAAACAGAGACTGTGAGCAGGGGAGAGGCAGAGAGAGAGGGAGAAGCAGGCTCCCTCCTGAGCCGGGAGCCCGATGTGGTGCTTGACTCCAGGACCCTGGGATCATGACCTGAGCTGAAGGCAGACACTTAATCATCTGAGCCACCCAGGTGTCCCATATCATTAGTTTTGGATGTAGTGTTCCATGATTCATTGCTTGTGTATAACACCCAGTGCTCCATGCAGTACGTGCCCTCCTTAATACCCATCACCGGGCTCACCCATTCCCCCACCCCCCTCCCTTCTGTAACCCTCAGTTTGTTTCTCGAAGTCCATAATCTCTCATGGTTCATCTCCCCCTCGGATATCCCCCCCTTCATTTTTCCCTTCCTTCCCCTAATGTCCTCCATAAGACTTTTCAAAGTCAACTGAATGCCTGAGCAGGAGAGAGGCAGATAGCTAACAAGAAACAAAGGGGGTTTGGGCGTGAAATAATGCAGTCAGCAACTATCTAATGGAAGCCTCTAAAGATCTATTCAGGAAAAAGGCAGTTTATTTTTTTTTTAAGACTTTATTTATTTGAGAGAGCCAGAGTGAGAGGGAGAAGCAGGCTTCCTAAGGAGCAGGGAGCCCGATGCGGGGCTCGATCCCAGGACGTTGAGATCATGACCTGAGCCAAAGGCAGACACTTAACGACTGAGGACACTTAACGAGTGAGCCACCCGGGTGCCCCGCTGAATCTCCTCTAAGTGGTACTAAGTATGGAGTGGCTGCCTGGAGTTGTTGCCCCAGTAAAAGTGGTGGGATGGGCAGGGGCCCCCTCCTCTCTCAAAAGAGCTTGCACGAGGACACTTACTGGGCCCCCACCACCCAAGGTAAGACACATTCTTTGGAATGAGTCTCATTTGGCAAAAATAAATAAATCAAGCGCAGGGATTATTGGCATCCTCTCAAACTGTTTGAAAATGAGTAGGTTTCTCATTTCATTGATTGGTGGGAATCCAAACTGACGAACGTGAACATCAGCTAGGCAGTGGAGGAAAGCTTGATCTCTAAATATTGCTCAGGATCGTCCTTTTGCCCCCTTTTCTGCGATGTTTCTATTACGATGATGATCATTAGCTGTATTTACACAAAAGTGTTCCTCTCATGCTTCAGCGGTTCCCGCAGCTCCTTTTCCATCTGAAGCCCCCTCGCCAGCATGGGGCAACGGTTGGCTGTAAGAGAAATAACCCGGAGGCCATCAGGTGTGAGTGAAACAACAAGAACAACTGAAGCCTGAAATAAGGGCGGAGGAGCTAGACTCTAACGCGCTGAAGTAAAGGCATCAGAAGAGGGAAGAAAAAAAAAGAAGGAAAAAAAAAAAAAAACCAAAGGAACAATTCCAGCAGCCGCATAATTTATCCGTAAATTAGGGATGCATATTCCTTTAATTCCTCATGCCAAACTTAAGTATCTAGACACATAAATGGCAAAAAACTTCCATTTGCTTTTCGACTTAAAGCTGCATGTTTTGCAAAATGAAATGGTAATAACGATCAAAGCCCTAAGCTCAGTCCTACAGTCCAGAGGAGAGGGGAGGGTAATCACCCTCTTGTGAGAGCTCTCTGGTGATGCCAGCCAGGGACGAAGTCAGCCTGCCCTCAGAAGAACCGAGAAAGAGCAGGCTATGACATTCCATCTCTTATCCCCTCAGGCATGAGAAAGGGATCTGCAAAAACAATACTGAGGAGGAGGCGGCATTAATCAGTAAACCCTCTGTTATCAGATATGCCTGGGGACTGCAGCATTCAAGTGAATCCACATTTTCTCCTTCACAGTACAAACCACATGAAAACAAGTAACCTAACCATAAATATTCCTTAATCCATTAAGGACTGATGGAGCTAAGTGCACTGACGGACAGCCTCCACATTAAGTCCAAGAGAACTTGATGAAAGCAACTATATGCAAAACAAAACAAAACAAAAAAAAATCGAGCCTCTTGGCATGATGCTGGCAGGCTTTCCGGACAGTAATACCAGACGTAAGCCTGTCATGAGCAAAGGCCCTGTGCCTGCCCTCAGCTCTGTTCTTAGTGAGGAGATCTTTCATTTTGTCTGTATCTTATTAGAGAATGCTAAATAAGACTTGATGGTTATTTTCCAGATTTTCCAGATTTCCTCAGTGGGTAAAACTCGGAGTAGATAGAAAAAAAACAAAAAGAAAGAGAGAGAGAAAGGAAGGAAGGAAGGAAGGAAACGGAGGGAAGGAGGGAGGAAGGAAGGGAGGGAGGGAAGGGAGAGTGGGGGAGGGAGAGGAGGGAGGGAAGGGGAAAGGAAGTGGGGAAGGAAAGAAAGAAAGGAGGAAGGAAGGGAGAAAGAGAGGGTGGGAGGGAGAGAGAGACAGAGAGACAGAGAATGAATCAACCTTAATTTTAGGTCTGCAAGCGTGGCTCAATATGTAACTACCTAGTTTTCATGGTAAATCTCTCTGTGTATGGTTATGCAAATTATGCAAATTAGCAGATTTCCTTAGAGTTTTCTGTAATTGGCCTCCCTCATTAAAAATGTAGATAACAGGGGCGCCAGGGTGGCTCAGTCGTTAAGCATCTGCCTTCGGCTCAGGTCATGATCCCAGGGTCCTGGGATCGAGCCCCGTATCCGGCTCCCTGCTCTGCGGGAAGCCTGCTTCTCCCTCTCCCACTGCCCCTGCTTGTGTTCTCTCTCTCTCTCTCTCTCTCTCTCTCTCTCTCTCTCTCTCTCGCTGTGTGTCTCTCTGTCGAATAAATAATCTTTAAAAAAAAATGTAGATAACAGAGGGACTGGCAAATGGCTGAAAATAAAAATACCAGGAGAAAACCATTAAAGGGAAAGTGATACGAGGCACCCTTTGCTGAGTGACTGAATGAATGTTCACTTTCTCTCTAAAATATCAATTTATTTTAATAAGTAGCTAATGAGTATCTGTTATTGTGACTGATGCTGGGTGGGATGAGGGGGCCACAATTTTCCAGACGAGGTAAGCTAAATGCACAGATAACCATCACATAAGACAGAAAATAACTGGTTGTAAAAGAAACATAGATGCACCTTGAGAAGTTAAAGGACAGAGAGCCCATTCCTAGTTTGAGAGCCAAAAATGATTTATTAAGAGGTCACCTTGGAAATGGGTCTAGAACAGGATCCGTAGAATACGTAGGATTTCAACCAGCAGAGCTACGTTATTAACGCAATTAACCTGGTGCCGATAGAGATGGTTCCTCAGAACATACTCTGTAATAACACTGCCCCAGGGATTAAAAGTACACTTCCATCCATTCATCCATTCATTCAACAAATGTACATTGAGCACCTAATATATGCCAGCGCTGCTGGTATGAGCGAGACAGTGGTGAACAAAAGAAACACCAATGTGTGCCCTTGCGGAGTGTGCATTTCAGCCATGTCAGCCTAAACCAATCCTAAGTGTGTGGGCAATGAGGGAGAAAATAAAACCATCTTTCTCCTGCAGCTCCCTCAGCGTAACTCAGACGCTGGGGTCCAGACTTTCACTTAAGCTCACCCGTCAGAGCCCTCAGCTTCCTTCATAGCAACCCAGGTCATGGTGATGTCACGCCTGATCAAGTTTTCCAGGGGCTGTCGTCATTCTCAGAGTAACAACTGTGTGGCATAGAACAACTACTCAGAAAGTAGTTGATGAATGAGTACATTTTGGAGAATCTCCTAAAAGCCTTCAAAACCTTGAAAATAAAATGTGGATCTTATTCCCATAAATATCCAACATGAAGAGACAGGCTTCTAAGAGCACACTAGAGTTTCCTGTGTCATTCCCCACCCCCCATTCCCCGCTCCTTGTACCTCTTTAGCTTAAAATTAGGGATGGTCAGGTTACTCCTCGTCATCTCAAGTAAAGTCCTAGACTAGCAAAGGCCGAAGGACTCCCCATCCGGTCTGTGATAATCCCACTGCCTTTACAATACAACCAAACTCCTTTTCAGAGCATTAATTTTACTTTACCATGTCCCTGTGTGGGAGGCAAATCACACAGACGCCACCCTTCCCATGTGATCGGGGAGATTAGCCAAGGCCATGGGGCTGCACAGGGTCAGAGTCCTACTGGTCCCAACCATATCCTGGATCAGGTACGAGCAAGTTTAAAGCCAACTCTGGACCGGTCCAAAGGGTCCAGTTTGGAGAACAATGAACTTCTCTCCCTCCTACCCAGGGGCCATCCCCAGTGTACCCAAACTGCCAGGTCAGTCCAAACCAACCCCAAATCCTTGACACCACAAAGTCATAGAGTGCATGGTGTAGGCTCTGGCCCGAGTGTTCAGGCATCAATCAGGGCCCTTCCTTGGGGTCATCAGGAACCAGTCAGACTCTCTGACCAATCAACTTGGGCAGCAGTCTCCATAGAAATGATTCCTGAGCCCATCAGATTTCTTTATGGCTTCAGATGTTAAAGTCACTGGCTATGCTGCATCTCCCTTTTAGCTGAGATGATGAGACCATCAATAGGAGCGTGTGCCCATCTTTTGTACATTACAGCTGCTCCCTCCAGTTTCCATGCTGGATCAGTCACAGGTTGGCCTCTTCCAAGTGCTCCTGGAATGAGCGTTAGCTGTTTGTCTAAGCTTTCCATTAGCACTCCAGAAATGCTGAAGGAGTTAGGAGGAAAGCCATTTTGAAAAGTAATGCCCTGGAGTGTCCCGAGGTCTGTTAAACAGCTCCAGTCCACAGCTGTAGCGCTCTTTTTCACAAGTTCTTGGGCTTCCAGAGCTGGAAACTAAAAGACCTCCCTGATAATGTTTGCCCGTTACCAACATATGAGTCATTTATCCCCAGAGGAGAAATCTAATGAGCTTTGCAGAATGACAGGCTAACAAAGCATCTGTGTGCCCCTTAAGATTCATACATTCATTTGTTCAATAAATCTTCATTGAGTACCTACCCTATTTGTTCTATAACGGGGTTACATTGGTGAACAAAAGTGGGATCTGGAAGTGGTAAATTTTCATGATGGGCAGGGGCTAAGCTGGCCTGCTGGGGGCTCCCTGATGATGCTGCTTCTCCACAGGAGAAGAACAGCCCAGCCTCCTGTCATTACTGACTTCCATAATTACCCCTCAGAATGGCAGAGGCAAATTTTCCCCTCGAGTAATCAAAATAATTGCCTACTACAGAATGGGGCCTCGGGAAGAAGAGGAATCCGCTGCAGGGAGCTGTGATGACATGAAAGGAACTAAAACACCTGAGGGGGGAGCATCAAAGGAGAAATAATCGCCAGAAAAGCCTCTGGAAGCACAGTCTTGTGCAAGGAAAGTGTGGAGCAGCGCTGAGGTGGAAGTGGCAGAGAAAGCATCAGTCTCCAGAGAGATTAGCCCCACAGAGAGCCCACCTGCCTGATAAGCTTTCTTCCTCTCTTATTCAGGGCACCACTGGGTTTGAAGCACATATTGATAAGTGCTTGGAGCTGGCAGAGTATTTATACAATACCATAAAAAACCGAGAAGGATACGAAATGGTGTTTGACGGAAAGGTACGTATTCTGATCTCTACGATCCCAAAAAGTTTAGTCAGTTCCAGTTCTTACCAGTTCTTATCACTGATTTTTTTTTTTATGTCAATCATGTACTGTCCAGGTAAAGGGGAGCATTACAAAGGAGAAGCTGGGCTGATGGGGTCGCTGTTCTGAGCTGGAGTAAAAAACGCAAACTCACAAAACAATAACTCTGTATAATGTGGCAAAAGTCAGGCACTCCAAAAGTGATTATGGATTTAAAATAGGAACTCTATTCGGAACCTGCAGAATAGGTTTGAAATGTCCTTGGAATTTTCTAAATGGCCACGATGGGCTGAGTGTGAATCTTACTTTCCTCCTTATAGCCTCAGCACACAAACGTCTGTTTCTGGTACGTGCCCCCAAGTTTGCGTGTCCTGGAAGACAACGAAGAGAGAATGAGCCGCCTCTCAAAGGTAAGTGATACAGGCTCCTCTGGTCCGGACATCAGTGCGTCCAGTGGGCCTTGCACATTCATGGCGTCTCTCTAGAGAGGAGAAATCCAACCTTGACCTTGGTGCACAGGCCCACTCCCTTTCATGGGCTCCTGCAGAACCAGGCCATTCAGAGCTGGTATAGCCAGACTTTTGACTACTCTGTTTGCTTCTTTTTTCCTGAGAGCAAGTTTATGATATCTTAAAATAAGCAATCAGGTGACAGCTTTACTGTCATTCACAAATCATACATTATATGTTAAAAAAAGAAGAAGATAGCAAGAGGGGAAGAATGAAAGGGGGGAAATCGGAGGGGGAGACGAACCATGAGAGATGATGGACTCTGAGAAACAAACTGAGGGTTCTAGAGGGGAGGGGGGGTGGGGGGATGGGTCAGCCTGGTGATGGGTATTAAAGAGGGCACGTACTGAATGGAGCACTGGGTGTTATACGCAAACAATGAGTCATGGAACACTACATCAAAAACTAATGATGTAAAGCATGGTGATTAACATAACATAATAAAATAAAATTTAAAAAAATATATAAGGGGAAAAAAAAAGAACCCTTGGTGAAGTTGGCTGACTCGCCCAGCAAAACTGTTATAAACACAGAAGAGATTTCAGGCACCAGCAATGGTTAGAAATCAGAGCTGCTGCTGACCCTCTTGAGATGCCAAGGTCAAGGCTACCCTGTGGAGTCTTTAGAGCTATGGTGAAGAACCCCAGAAGGGACCGGGGGCAGGGAACAATACTAAGGGCCACTGTGTAGAGTGCATGTTGTGTCCCAGGCTCAACTGTGATCTAGCATTAGATCACTCAATTATCATAAGTGTTAGAAAGGACTGAAGAAGACAATTTAGGTGACACAAACTTCATTTAACACTTCATGAAGCAGGCAGCCTCCATTCCCAGGGGTCCAGAGAACTGCAAAATGGGGTGGAATGCAAGAAGCTTTTATAGGATGAAGAATAAGGAACAGGAAAAGAAAGATAGAAAATGAATAAGGAGGGGCACCTGGGTGGCTCAGTCCGTTAAATGTCCAACTCTTGATTTTGGCTTAGGTCATGATTTCAGGGTCATGAGATGGAGCCACGTGTCAGGCTCTCGTTGGGCATGGAACAAGCTTGAGATTCTCTCTTTCCCTCTCCCTCTGCCCACCCTCCCCGTTTGTGTGCATGCATGCACGCGCTCATGCACTCTCTCTCTCTCTCTCTCTCTCAAAAAAAAAAAAAAAACAAAAAAGAAAGAAAGGAAAAGAAAATGAGTAAGGAACAACAAAATAAGTATAGAACCCAGGGTTGGCTTGGTGTTGGGAATTGGCTGACTGGATATTCCATGTTTCTGGTTAAACAGAGCATTTACAGGGTTATGAAAGTTAAGTGTCCGTTTCCTGACGTGACATCTGGGCAGGAGCAACCCCATCATGGGCCTAGAGATTTACTTCAATCTAAGCAACCTGATCTGGGAAGTACTGCTGTCTCCCCATTTTGCTGATGGGGAAACTGAAGCACAGAGAGGAAAAAAAAAATCACTTTCCCAAAATCACTGACTCCAGAGCTGGAGGGCTTGAGCTTCAGATTCTTCTGTGGCCAGTAAGATATCCTTGATCTTTTTTCCTCTCCTGCTCCCATCACTTACACATGGGTGAAATTCGGTTGATGATGTACCCCAAAGAGAATCTTGAAGGGAGATAAATGTGGGGCCCCATTCCAGTGTTGAGGAATGGGAACTAGGGATGATTGTGTGTATTTGGATCTCAAAGCCTGGGTTAATTGGTTGGTTGGTTTTCTATTTACCACAAAGGAGGGGACTTCTTCCAGTTGCTGTCAGGAACAGGGGAGGCCCTCTCCCCCACTGTGAAGGAGCCTGGGCTGCCTCACTGACCTTTAAGAATACTTTATTTCCTTCCATGTCAAACAACAGGATTTTTTGTGGTTTAAAACCTCCAGGAAGGCTTATAAATGTGAATACCTGCCAGTAAACAATCCAGGATCAAACCTTCATCAGGAAGAAACTGACACATAGTCGAGGAGTTTAAGTGAAGCCTCCTAATTAGAGTAGTGGTTTGCAATCCTGGCCACCCATTAGAATCAGCCTGAAGCTTTATAGAAAACACTGATGACCAGGTCTTAACCCTGAGAATTTAATCCAGTTGGCTTTAGATGGGCTTGGGAATGGTTCTAAAAGTTCTCCGGATGATCCCAATGTGCAGCCCAGGCTCAGAGCCACTGACCTAGAGGAATGCATGGAAGAAAGCTTCTAGAATGGGAATCCATCAGTGCATGTGTCTGGGTAGGAGGGGTCATGGTCATGTTTGAAGTTTTAATGAAGTTGGCTCATTTGCTCGTTCCAAGAAATCAAGCCCAAGAGATGGGCGGGAGGCAGGATGAGGGTCACATTGGAAAAGATGATGGGGAGGCAAAAAGGGGCCTGTTATCGTTTGAGAAGAAAGAATTCATATTTTTTCCTGATGTTTTATGGTGTGGCTTCTCCGTAGTATGCATCATCTTACCAATAACTAATTTTATTTAACAAGTTAGTTAGAAATTAGATGTTTCCATTCTCATTGGCTCTACCTCTTTAATGAATCCATTGACCAGACAGAATCCGGGGTAATTTGACCGGTTTCATTTGTTGAATCAGTTCATTATTGCTGGGCTGAGGGATGGGGCAAGATGGGAAAACAGAACAGAAAGTGGTTTTTCCCATCAGTTTCTGAGCAAAAATCAATTCTGAGGGGCACCTGGGGGCTCAGGCGTTAAGCGTCTGCCTTCAGCTCAGGTCATGGTCTCAGGGTCCTGGGATCGAGCCCTGCATCGGGCTCCCTGCTCGGCGGGAAGCCTGCTTCTCCCTCTGCCTCTCCCCCTGCTTGTGTTCCCTCTCTCGCTGTGTCTCTCTCTGTCAAATAAATAAATAGAATCTTAAAAAAATAATCAATTCTGAATTCCCCCCATTTCAATACAGCTCTCTTTCAGATGCTCAGGTTTTGGCACATCACATAAACTATGATGGGAATGGAGAGTATTTCTTGCAGAGAGCCATGAGAATATTAGTCAACTATTTCTATACTGTGGATAATTGAAATTTGAATTAGGTCTGGGGATTGCAAAATGAGTTCTCTCAGTTTTGCCCTGTCCCGTGATTCCATTTTCCCGACTAGAAGGTAGAGAATTCAGCAAGTCAGAGTTGGAATTCACAGTAGAACCACATAAAATATCAAGGTTAACTTTTGTTTATTTATGCCAATAATTTTTCAGAGTTTCAGAAAAGTTCCTTCTTAAATATAAATCCCTTAAAGTATAATGTCCAGGGACCAGTAAATCTTCACACGCTCAAACACACACATGCACACAATCCCAGAGGGAAAACAGCAGAGGTAAAATAAAATAGATCGTTTGCTCTATCCAGTATGGTATCAATAGCCGCACATGGCATTTAAATTTAAATCAATCAAAATTAAATTCAACCAGAAATTCACTTCTTCAGTTACACTGGCCACACTTCAAGGGCTCAACTTGTGATCAGTGGTTATTATATCAGATAGTGGAGATATAACACATCTCTATCACTACATAAAATTCTCTTGTCAGTGCTGACATAGACCCAAAATGAGAGGAAATGTGGAGACTTCCATGTGGCATGTGGCAAGCGAGAATTAAGTTAAATTCTGGACCCTCCAAGGAAAAATTACTCTTTGTGCCCTCTTGTCTTGGTACAAGGCTTAGCATATAGTAAGGCACTCAAAAACGTTTGCTGAGCTAAAGTGCCATTTACACATTCCAGAACAGGGAGCAGAAACAATATTTAGGAAATCTACTAGTGGATCATGGGCCTTTCTCCAGAGCTCACAGTGACTTGGGGACCGATATCTAGGCAACAGGTGGCTATTATGAAACAAGCAGAATCAACAACTTCATAAGGGAGGCTGAGGATCAGGTTGGAGTATTTCCTGCTGCCTGGTCAGGACTGTGAATGTGCAGGTGGCCCATCATCACTGAGGCACAGTGGACACAGAAGGCCTGGGACGCCACACGACCACAGGCAAATGCCTTAGACACAGGCAGGACAAGCAGGTGGAGTCCATGAGGGCATTCATCAGACAAGAACCCCGGTTCTTCATCATCACCTTCATCTTGTGTTTTATTCCATCATATTTGATCATTATCTGCGTATCTCATCCTGACTTCTACCAGTCTATGACTGATGGACTTCCAAAATGTCAACAGTGGATTGAAAAGTACATGGGTAAGGTAGTAGATTGGCCTCATATTTAAGGTGACACTCTTCCAAAGTCTACGTTGTTAAATGTAACAAGGACTTTAATTGGTGAAATTTTAAAGTGTTAGGATTCCTATTTGTTGTTATTCTGCTTTTTCATTTTTTTCCCAAAAATTTCACTCACGTTTCCAAGATTTTGAAACAAAAAGATTTTGTGATACATAGTGAAAAAATACATTTCTGTGATTCTGTGATGCTTTAACCTGAGCTCTCTTGGGAGAAACAAACGTGGTTTCAAATTATGGGATAGTTCCCTGGTTATTGTTTTCTAGGGAATTGAAAAAGCTAATGACACAAGGGAGAAAATGACACCCCAAAACTTATAAGGCAGCACCAAGAGCTCCTGCTGAGGTCTTTAGTGAAATCTTCAACAGGCAGCCTCTCTTTCCTGACTCTCTTTATTCAACAAAACCAAGAATGAGATCAAAAGACAACATCTAGAAATAAGTGAAAATGCTATACATTCATCAGAAGAGTCAGAATCTTATTTTCCTTCTGAACTTGCAATTAGTGTTTATGCAATGAAGTAGACGTTCCCTGTTTCTGCTAATTTTAGTTCATCCACATTTTCTGGAAGCAGCCAAAAGTCATATGTATTTAGACAAAAGTCATATGATTTCTCCAACCCAGCCAGCTTCAGTAACTGCGAGGAATTGATCTGACTTTATACCAAAACCTGTTTGGGATGATGTCTGTTACCATTTAAATTTTTGACCTCTGATTTGATTTAATGTCTCTGAAAAATTAAAGATGATTGTCTTTAATAATAAATACCATCTCTATGTGGTTTTGCTGGGATTGTCCGTGAAAATGAAATCAGAGTAAAGCATTATCATTGTTTTTGTCAGTTCTAAAGAGCAAGCATGATTTATTACACAAATAAAAATTAAGGAATAGTTATGTGACTCTTCCTGAAATTCTGCAGACACATGGATTTGGAATTCCTTTTCTATTTTGGGATTTCTCTTCCCAGGAACACATTGATTTGCCATGTCTCACAGCACAAAGTGATAAATTTCATGTCCTTATGCTAGAATATTCTACTAGATCCACTTTCAGAACTTAATCCCAGAGTTGAGATTCTCAAATTCTTTTTCATACTTATTCCCTGGGATGAGCCCGATGCTCTGTGTACCTCCTTAATCCTTCAGGGGAAAGAAAGAAACATTCCTCTTTATATTATCTTCCTGTGTAATAAAAAAGGGGCTGAAAGAGACTTAAGAACACGTTAACCTAGAATCAGAAAATCCCAGGGCTGGAATCATCAAGCACATTCATTTTTAGACGAGGAAATTAGGTTTAGGATGTGAGGTGAGGGTGACATGAAAGTGAAGATGAACTCTGTCCTTGGTTTTCTCTTTGGTTACTAATAAATAATTGGGCCTGATGGGAAATATGTCAATTTGACACATTGAGTACTTTGTTTTGGGTTTTTTTTACATTTATTTAGCTTTCCTTTTTAAATTTTAAATTCCAGTAGAGTTAGCATACAGTGTTATATTAGTTTCGGGTGTACACTATAGTGATTCAACGCTTGCATACATTCCCTGGTGCTCATCACAACAAGTGCCCTCCTTAATCTCCATCACCCATCTCTCCCATTCCCCTTCCCCGCCTCTGGTAAACATCAGTTTGTTCTCTATAGTTAAGAATCTGTTCCTTGGTTTCTCTCTCTTTTTTTCCCCTTGATCAATTTAAAAAACAAAACCATTGTTTTGTTTTTTTTAATTCCACATATGAGTAAAATCATACGGTATTTGTCTTTCTCTGACTTATTTCTCTTAGCATAATACTCTCTAGCTCTATTCACGTTGTTGCAAATGGCAAGATTTCATTCTTTTTTATTCCCTTGTGTGTGCGCACACACACACACACACACGCACACATATATACACCACCTCTTCTTTATCCATTCATCAATCAAAGGACACTTGGGCTGTTTCCGTAATTTGTCTATTGTAAATAATGCTGCTATAAAAGTAGCAGTGCGTGTATCCCTTTGAATTAGTGTTTTTATATTTTGGGAATAAATACCTAGTAGTGCAATTACTGGATCATAAAGCAGTTCTATTGTTAACTTTTTGAGGACCTTCCATACTGTTTTCCACAGTGGTTGCACCAGTTTGCATTCCCAACGAGAGTGTAAGAGGGTCCTTTTCTCCACATCCTCATCAACACCTATTGTTTCTTATATTTTTTATTTTAGCCACTGTGACAGGTGGGAGATGAAATCTCATTGTAGTTTTGATTCGCATGTCCCTGATGATGAGTGATGTTGAGCATCTTTTCATGTGTCTATTGGCCACCTGATGTCTTCTTTGGAGAAATGTCTTTTGCCCATTTTTTAATTGGATCATTTGTTTTTGGGGTGTTGAATTTTATAAGTTATTTATAGGTTTTGGATACTAACACTTTATCAGATATGTCATTCTCATAATGAGTACTGTGAAGATGAAAATCTCATTGTAAACAAATGATTATTTAAGTGTTGATGTTCGAAAGTTGCATGTTTCATAACAGCATTCCATCTGAATCAAACTATTCTTCATTAAAATGAATCCAACTATGATGTAAGGTATAGTGCCCATTTTGAACTGAGTTACTTACTATGTATATCTAAATAAGTCTAAAGCTCCCTGACATCAACCATTCCTGGTTACGTATTTGCAGCAATGAACTTAAATGATCAGATGTTATATTTACAGACTCTAATGGTAAAATACATGAACGGATCATACACACAGTTAGACCTAAGTTAAATGTGTTCCTCTTCCTAGATAGCTATCCCTATTATTCTACTCTTTATTTAATTTAATAAGGACTTGGGGAGCCCTCAATGTGCACACACAGTTGTGCTTGTAAACAAAAGAAGTAAAAGACACTGTGCCCTTCAGAGCTTACAGTTGAAATGTATTTTCTTATGAGTAATAGGACAATAGGAAAGTTTCTATAGACAGACTCTATGGGTAAGGATCATGTATTTACCACTTAAAAGGAAAAAGAAGCTACTGGACTAGAGGAGTCAAGAAAAGCTTCATCATGGTTGTAGGGCTGTGGTGGAGTCTTGGGGTCTGTGTAGGATATGTCTTGGAAGAGAAAGGGAACTTGGAGCCAAGACCACAAGTGTGACACAGTAAGACTGAGGACAAGTGTGAAGGGAGAAAAATATATGTGGCAGAGTTGAAGATTAGTTTTAGCGAGCCCTGGAATATGAGTCCTCAGAGCTGGGGGACAAAATAGCTTTGTGCTGAGCTCGAGAGTTTGAACTTCATCTCATACACAGTCATCAGAGAACTACTGACACTGTAATCATTCTGGGATACATGTGCTAAAATCTCACCTGAGAGCCACCTCTGTAATGTTAAGTGTTTGTGGGCTCTCCTTTTGACCTCAGCTGATTTTCATCATGATTAAGGAATGCATTTCAAAAAACCGTATAAACTGAGATAATGCAAAAGGAGAATGAAAAGAAACTGGAAAGCTTTAGGGTCTCAAGAAAGAAAAGGGCTTTAAGGCCTCAAAAGTCTGCTTATTTTCAGACATCACTTGATATTGAGGCTTACCTCTTGGTAACCATTCTCTGAGCTATGTTCTGTTTCCAGTGTTTTTATATCTTCTGAGGAAAAAACAAAAAGCCCTCCCCCAAATGTTGTATTGCTAAACTATTTAGCCTTGGAACCCATTCGTCCCATTCCCCCAAAACCATAACTGCAAGTTGTTAAATAACAAAAACTCAACTGAGGTATATTTTAAAAATCTAATTGGCTTTAGGCAGCATCCCATCTAGGAAGTAGAGGGGAGCTCCGAGGGGCTATAGAAAGGGAGAGGTTTTTAAAGCAGGATAAGGAAGTCACAAACAGAAAAGAGAATTATTTGGGGTGAGCTCACCTTTTTGGGGGGAAAAGGGTCTTACTAAGTGAGTACCTCATGTTTCTTTGGGGGATGGGGAGGGGCCATGTGACTGAGTACCATTTTGATGCTGACCAGAAGATTCCTGACCGACCAGTTAAGACTATATTCCTGGAGGAAATTGAAAGTGCAATTAGGTTAGGTATGAAGCCCAGGGTTGGTAACGTGGCCTAGTGTGACTCCATTTGGGGTCTGCAGTTTTCTTTTTCACAAAGTCAAGGATGAGGGAGCAAACAACTGAGAGCCTATCACTTATTATTCATCTTATCACCTTCAAGAATTTGGATGTATTAAACTGTTCTAGTGCTCTGATCCCCAAAAAAACTTGGAGAAAATTCCTTTAAGGGAAACAAATATGAGTCTGGTTGTTTAGTTAAAAACTAAAAATGCTACTGGATATTGGGTTCTTTTACTAGAGGAAGAGTCCCCAGGGGTCACCATGTGGCTCTGGTCTCTCCCACAGGTGGCCCCAGTGATTAAAGCCAGAATGATGGAGTACGGGACCACAATGGTCAGCTACCAGCCCTTGGGAGACAAGGTCAATTTCTTCCGCATGGTCATCTCAAATCCCGCAGCAACTCACCAAGACATTGACTTCCTGATTGAAGAAATAGAACGCCTTGGACAAGATTTATAATAACATAGCTCACTAAGCTGTTTCAGTTCTCTAGGTAGACAATTAAGTTGTCACAAACTGTGTGAATGTATTTGTAGTTTGTTCCAAAGTAAATCTATTTCTATATTGTGATGTCAAAGTAGAGTACAGTTTAAAAATCCAAAAAACATTGCTCCTTTTAAAAATCCTTTCCTGAGTTTAGAATACCTCTCTAGAAATTAGTGACAAAAGGCTGTGTTCTAATCAATAATGAAAAGCTTAAAATTGTTATAAATACTTCCCTTACTTTTAATATAGTATGCAAATCAAGCTTTATTTTCACTTCAGAGTAGTACGATTGAATAGTGCCAAATTGCCCCGAATCCTAAAAGGTTCTTTGGGGTGCAGTCCAAAGGAGAAAGTACATATAAAATGTATGTTGACAATAAAAACTCTTGCCTTTTTCATAGTATTAGAAAAAAAATTTCTAATTTACCTATAGCAACATTTCAAATGTATTTAAATACATATAATTTTACAAAAGGAAAATATATATATTAAAAAGAAATCCTATTTTGTAACATATAGATTTTTATTTTATATGGGTTATACAAACTGCAGGGGCAGATATAAAAATTAAGCCAGATTTTTTTTTTGTCTTTCTTTTAATGGAGGCACAATAAAACACTGAGCAAAGTTATTTTGAAACATAGGCCCACAAAATTCTTAAAAGGTATAATGCCTTCTTTCTATTCATGTGACGGTTTATCCTATCTCTAAAGTTAGTATTACAAAACAAACACAAAAGAATACTGCAAGTTCTTTAAAATGACTGACCAGATCGACAATAAGATTCTCTTCCCTGCTGAGTTTTCCGCCCAGTTGACCCTGAGCAGACCCCCTCAGTAAGCATGGTAAGCCAAGCTTCATCTTAGACTAAAACTAGGGTAATTGTACTCTGCTTTCCAGTTCAGCTTGTTTTGAACAGAAGGTGGATGCTCGTTCTGGAAGCATCTTCCCAAAGAGTATTCTTTTATTAGGTCATTTGGATTAATTAGAGAAAATAAAAATAAAATCTAATCAGCCTGAGCAAAAAGGAATGAAGCACACTCCAGAAGGTGGTGATCCCAGAAAATTAAACTTGGCCTTGAGAGAAGAGATCTTTGTGTGAACAATGATGTCATCCTGGGCACCATATTGTCACTGTCCAGGAAGGAGTCATTTACCTCCTGGATAATTGCTTATTCCCATTCTTTCCCCTCTCCTACCCACAAAAATTCCCATCACTGGAATCCCAAATAATTAATTTCTATCCCATGGGTGGTTATTTTCCTCTCATGAAGTGAGCTCTTCACCTGAGATTTTGAGACAGCATCTTAAGGTTTCTTTTATCTGCCTCTTGTCAAGATTGAAAGTGACCAAGGGTGCCTGGGTGGCTCAGTCGTTAAGATTGAAAGTGACCAGAGTATGCAGAGATAGGAAGATCCTTAGAATTCAGGATAATATTTTAAAGAATTCTTCTTCCCCTACAAACCTGATGGAGAGGCCTGAACTAATACAAGAGCTCCCATAGATATTTGTGGGGCCACAGTTTTTCGGATTCCAAGTACTAGTGTGATGACTACAGACTGATCTGTGCAGGTTGCAGGTACAAACTTAGAACATTCATCCTTTCTATATGTATCTTAGAAAGACTACAGGTATACAAAAGAAGAAAGAAAGAAATGCCCTATAATATAACCATAAGATCCCATCATCTGAAATCTGCATGAGCTTGCCCCTACATTCTTTCTCCCACATTATATCCAAAAACATTGATACTTGAAATGAACATAGGTTTGGGTTCTTCCTGTCTAGGAAGTAAATGGGTTCCCTATGATGATTAAGAGAAAACTTTTATCTGTACCCCAGAATTTCAGGAAGGAATAAACCTCCCATTCTAGGCTATGTCTAATGGCCAAGCATCCCTTTCCCTTCTAGACATGGGCCATTGAGACGAAGCACATAGCTGCCCATCTATCTTGAGCCTCAGGCCAAAAGGTCCTACCTCAGAGGCAAAGACACTAACTGTCAAACCCACTGTCCTGCTTGGAGAAGACAGTGGAGCCCAGGGCCCTGACCTAGACATACCCCTCTCAACTCCAGGATGCTTAAACCTTGCAGTACGATCCTCTAGCAGAAGCTGCTGCTTTTTAACTTGATGGTATGATGGAATTAAAAGGAGAAGCATTTGTGTCTGTGTATGAAATTCCAGCAAAATAATTTTTACAAATAGGTTGTTGCCCCCACTCCCTGCCCCTTCCAAATCCTTCCCCAAGTTGGCTGGGAGTCTTGCTCAATCAGTGAAATCCCTGCCAACCACAACCCAGGAAAGGAGGTAAATAAAAGCTTAATAGGTCCCAGTATTCTAATAAAATATTCTTTAAAGTATGTCTGTAATCTACTTGGGAGAGAGGGAGGGAGGGAGGAAGGGAGGAAGGTGGTTTTGAACATTAGCTCAAATTCCCAGTGCCAAAGGCCTTTATGTGGGACCATCCTTTCCAATTTTAGAAAAGTCTGGGGTTAGCTTAATCAGAATTGACATGGCCATTTTCATTAATTCAGCAATATTGTGTTTATTATTTTTAAATACTTGAAAAAAAAAGTGTGGTATGTCTTTATCTGAGACACATAAATGGCTTTGACTTCGTGTACTGTCACAAGGCTGTGAAGAAAGCAAAGGAAATCAATTGTGTGTATAAACTGTGTTCCTTTCATTATATTGATAGTACTGTCTCGTCACCTCAGATTGGGGTTGTGCACTTTAGCTCTGAACTGTACAGTGTTGCAAATCAACATGTGTTGCTGTAAAAGCTTGTACAATATATTATTGACATGTCTTTTTCTGTGTGGTAGCTATATCAATATTACAAGAACAACATCCGCATCTGTTCCTGTGCGCTCTCTCTCCTCCTCTCTCTGCTAAACTGTACGCCCTCCACATCCGCTCTAATAGAGAACATGCCCTCTGCTAAGCTCTCTACTCAGAAATCTCCTTTGAGAACTGTGCGATCACACAAAAATGCAAGGTGAATGCCGCTCATGTCCGAGAATAGAGGAGACCCATATGGAGTGTCACAAACTGCCCAAATTGCAGGTATTGTCCCCACTGGGGTTTGGAGTAGGAGCTATTCCTCAGAACATGGACAAAGAAAGCACGGGTGTAAATATAGCAGCAGGACAGGGAATCAAGGACCCTCACGGTGGGTATCATCTTGCACGTGCTCTCCTGTTTTCAGATGCTACATACAAACACTGTGTATTTATTAGTTTCATGCTCCAAAATACTGTTCCCAACTGGTGTTTCTGAAAGACATCAACATCTCCCCAACATTACGCCATTTACTAAGACAGAAAAAAATAAAAAATATAAACACGTGGCAACATGTTCTTCTTACCAAATATAAACTTGTGTATGATCAAAGTATTTTATCTGTGTTGTCTCTCTGAACCCAAATAAATGTGTAAATGTGGACATGCCTCGGGCTCTGCTTGCTTATTTCTGACTTTGCCTTGTCGTGGAGCTCATTTTTAAACAAGTTGCCTGGTGGCTCCATTGGTTAGGCGACTGCCTTCGGCTCAGGTCATGATCCTGGAGTCCCGGGATCGAGTCCCACATCGGGCTCCCTGCTCAGCAGGGAGTCTGGGCTTCTCCCTCTGACCCTCCCCCCTCTCATGTGATTTCTCTCTCTCTCTCAAATAAATAAATAAATAAAATCTTTAAAAAAAAAAAAAAAAACCAAGTTGCCTGAATACAAAGCCCCTTGTCTTGTCACAGAGCTCAGAGTGTCTTTGGGTCTTTGTTGAGGAAAAAGAGCTCTTACTTCTGCTGCCACTCTTACTGTCACTTCTGAAGGATATTGTTTTACCACACGTGCTTCAATTCTTCAAGCAGATCCAGTCTTTTTTTAGAAAACACTTTATTATGGAAAATTTCACATACATACAAAAGTGGAGAGAACAGTATAATAAATTCCCGTGAAGTTTTCACCCAGCTTCAACATTTACTGATTCAGAGACTGAATCTCATTTCGCCAGTCCCCAACCCCATGTCCTCCCTAACACCAAATTATTTTTATATGAATCTGAAAAGATAAGGGCTCCTATAAACAAAAAGAGAAAAGTCCTCAATATGATTATCACAGCTAAAACAATAATAATGTCATAATAGCGGCAAATATTCAGTTAATGTTCTCATTTCCCTGGGTCTCATTTTGACAGCAAAATCCATAGCCCATGGCCTGTGGCCCAGGAAAGCCAGAGGGGCCCACAAAACTTTCAGGAGAGCTGGGACACGGATAATTCAGGTGCACCATCCAATCCTGTACACACATGGGTTATGTGTAGGCTGTTGTATATTATTGGTTATTTCTGCACCTCTGTGGGTTCTGAATTTTGGAGCTATCATGTTCAGGGGCTTTTCGCCATTGCTCTTATGGAGTAAGAGGGGTGAGCAGGTTAAATGCTAGAAAGCCATGGGAATTTAATTGGTGGAATATATCCTGATGTGCCTTATCAAGTCCAGGCTGCCCCTGTGGGCTCGAGATACCCTTAAAGGTATTAGTCTAGAGTAGACAGATACTACTTCCAGCAGATGCGGGGCTGGGGGAGGACTTAAAGGGGAGGAGGAGACAAGGTTTCTAGGTAATTTCAATATTGTTCCTAGGGGACCCAATAGACAACAGCCAACTAAAGAGGCAACGCCTTGTGCATTCCTGCCTTTGTTCACATTACTCCCTCAGCCTGGGAAGAATCTCCCATTCTTCCTTGCTCTAGGGAGCAGTATCTCATGGATAGCGTTACAGCAGCCTTCTTCATGAGGTTTTTATAGGGGTTAAATAAAATGTATGTACAGCACTTAGCATGGTGCTTTGCGTCCAAAAAGCTTTCAACAGTCTTGTTCTTGTTAGTGATGGTGGTAATTATGTATGACTTCGACAGCTCAGCTTTGTCCCCCTCCTCTGATTTCCCAAACTACTTGCTTTCGGTCAGCAGTGTTCACGGGCACTTATCTAACGAGTTCAGGCTGGAAATAGCATCTTTTATATTTTCTTCTGCTCAACCAATGT